AGTAAGGGAAAGGAGGGTGGGGGAGGGGTTCGGGAATAGGACAGCGGGGTTAAGGGGCACAGGGATCGACGGCAGGGGTCTTGTGAGGGGGAGGGGCCGAATGAATGAGGCTGAAGGACAAGGAGGGGACGCACTGAGAGGGGAGAACTTAGAAGGGTGAGGGCTAAGTACAGTGCTCCGTGCTCTTCTTTCTTTGCACCGTGAGGCCAGGGACCTGTAAGGGACGCGCCCGGGTGCGTCCCTCGCATCTCCGCCTGGCCCTCTAGCGGCAGGGGCGGCACATCCCGCCGCCAGGCCGGCGCGATGACCCGCTCCCTGCACCGGGCCGCAGCCTGCGGACCCCGGGACCCGCCAGGCCCAGGCCATGAGGGGCTGCGCCAAGGAAGGGGCGGCGGAAGGCCGTCGGGAGGCGGGTGGTGAGCGTCCCTGTCGCCGGCAGCATGGCGGAGACCCCGCGGCTGACCGAGGGCGCCGAGCCGGGCCTCGACTACGCGCCCTTCGACGAGGACGACGGCCCGGTGGACTGCGACTGCCCGGCCGCCTGCTACCGCGGGCAGCGGGGGTACAGGTCAGCGGCCGCCGCGGCGGGGGGCGGGGGTGGCCCGCGGGGCCGCCCCCGCTCACCGTCCTCCCTCCCCTTCTCGCCCAGGACCAAGCACTGGTCCAGCAGCTCGGCGTCGCCCCCTCCCAAGAAGAAGAAGAAAAAGAAAGGCGGCCACCGCAGAAGCCGGTGAGAACCGCGCCCGGAGGGAGGGGACTGGAAGGGGCGGTGGGGCCGCTGCTGGGGTGCAGTCCCTCTCGGGCACAGGACACCCACACCAAAGTCGCCTTTGTGAGCCCCGCCCCCTCTGAGCCCCTCTTCCCTTATTGCATCCCTCCCCTCACCAAGTCGCCCCCAACTAAGTGTTCTTCCCCTCATGACCGCCTCCCCTTTGCCAGACCCCGCCCCTCGCCGAGCCACGCCCCTAGGTCAGACCCCGCCCCTCTCCGAGCCCCTCCTCTACCAGACCCCGCCCTTCCTTCCCCCTTTCCAGGCCCCGCCCCCTCGATGAGCCTCTCCCCTTCACCAAGCTCCTTTCCCTCACCAAGTCCCCCAAAACTGGACCCACTGACCCAGCCCCTGTGCTACCCTAACCTGCCACCATCTTCCCTCCCCCCTCCCCCAGGGGTCTGCAAGGGTGAGTGACCCAGGGAGGAGGGCCTTGGGTGAGCCTCATCTGCCATCCCCCATTTCCATGTCCCCGCTCTCCTGTTCTGAGTGAAACCCTAGTAAGCGTCTGGGGCCCCAACTAACCCCGTCCATCGGTCTGTCCTTCTTTCTCCCTGGCATCCCCTCAGCAAAAAGAGGAGACTAGAGTCCGAGTGCAGGTCAGTGAATAAGGCGGGCAGGGGCTGGCTGGCTGGCTGGGCGGGGTGGCGGGGTCTGTATGTGGGTGGGAGAGACTCCAAGGCCCTCCCCCAGAGGCAAGAGGCCTGGCACCTCAGGGCCTGGGCCCTGGACACCGCCAGCATGCCAGCTTTGCCCCAAGAGGCCATAACCCCCACCTTTGGAGCCTCTAACCTCTGGTTTTGAAACCTCCTCACTTGTAATGCTAAGGGGTCTGGAAGGGTGACAAGGGGACAACATAGGCAGTGCCATCAACTGCCCTGAGGGACCTTGACAACCCTCAGGGCCTCGGGTCACTCTGTACAAGGGGCAGTTGGACTTCATGGCCTGGAGTCCCCTTTCCAGCCTCAGTGCCCCAGGCACCCAGGCCTCTCCAGCCATTTCTGGCCACCCTTCCCCACTCAGCTCACTAGAGCCCACCCCTGTGTCCACAGCTGCGGGAGCTCATCCCCGCTGCGCAAGAAGAAGAAGAGCATGAAGAAGCACCGCCGAGACAGGTACCCTCACTGCCGCCACCCCAGCTTCCTCTCACTTCCATCGGGCCTGGGCTCCGTGCCCATCAATAGGTGTCCCCTGGGCCACCCAAGGCAGGCTCAAGAGAACTCCTTTATCACCTACAGGTCTGATTCTGGGTCCCGGAGGAAGAGACGGCACAGGTGAGCGGTGCTCTGCGGAGGATGTGGACAGAAGCTAGTGATACCTTCAGGGGCCAAAGCCCAGAGAAAGCAATGATGGGAGGGGGGTTGTGAGGGGCCTCCCTGGTCCCATCCTCCAACTCCAGGGCTTCCTGCCCAGAGCCAGGCAGGGTGGGAGACTGGGTGGTGGGGGCAGGAACAACCCTCACCTGCCCCATAAGTCAGCCTTGATGTGGGGACCCCAAGAATTTCTAGACAACACAGCAGGTCCAATGTCCAAGGGGTGTGTCTGAAGCCGAGGGTTGGGAAGGCAGAAGCATCAGGACCCTGAATTTGCAGGGAAAGGGCTTGCCAGGCAGAAGGACCTCTGTGACCTGGGAAGGCTCGTGAGTAGGAGGCGGGGTAGTTGGGCTGTGGCTGGAGGTAGAGTTTCTGGGGGACAGACCTGACTGCCAGGCTACTGAGCTGGTCTATACCTGGGGGGCTGGGAGCCAGCATGGGGCTCTGAGTAGGGCAGTGACCTGTTCAGGCTGGGATGGGAGAAGGGACAGGAGGAGGTGAAAGGCAGGAGCCCAGCAGAGGCAGCAGTGGCCCAGGAGGAGCAAAGGGTTGCTGAGAAAGTAGAACTCTCAGCATAGAGGGAAGGAAGTCATGGGGCAGTTGCAATGTCACCACAGTCAGCAGAGCCAGAGCCCCTCCCAGCAGCCCTGAGGAGGGGCACAGTCCCTGCCCCCAGGAATTTGCCCACTGGCCACTTGCCAGGTAGGGGAGGAGCCTTAATAAACACCTAACCCACCCCTCCCCATTTCCCGTCTCCCTCCCCATACAAGCCCTACGGGGATGGTGTAGGCTCCACTGCCCCCAGTGGTCACATCAGCTGGCACCCTCTGGCCAGCTCACCTGTCCTTTCTTCCCTAACCCCCTGGTGACTGGCCAGGGCCAGGCCACAGTCTGAGAGCACAGGAGGCAGTGGGCACAGCAGGCACAAATGCAGTTGCTCATCAGAGCTGGCCCCGAGACCTAGGCCAGAAGGCCAGGGCAAGTCACCCTTTCCACCCAGACCTGAAGCCCGAGGCTGGCAGACCTGCAAACAACACCCCCTTCCTTCTAGGGCCTGGCCACACACTTGTGGCACTCCCAGTGGGGGCTGCAGTTGGGGCCCAGACAGGAGGTGATCATGGGCCAAGGACTTACAGGACAAGGAAGGACAGAGGCAGAGTGAGAGGGGCCAAAGCAGTGGCGTGGGATGAGCAAGTCCTGGCCAGCCAGGAAGGCTCAGGCCTGAGAGTGGAACAAATCTCAGATCCACACCCGGGCACAGCTAAGCTGCACCATCACTGTGGTCTCTGCTTTCTGCAGATCTCGAAGCCCCAAGAGCAAAAGAAAAGAAAGGAACAAAGACAGGAAGAGGTGAGGCCCTCTCACTCTCCAGGCCCCCACCCCTAGAAAACCTGGCCTTTAGAGTCACAGAGTCGGCCGTTAAAGGTAGCTCACTCTGTCCCCCTCGCCCAGATGGAAAAATTAAGACCCAGAGAGGAAGCCAAGAGCCCTGGGTGAGTCAGAGCTGGAACCTGACCCCAGGCCTCTTGCCTCCCAAGCCAGGATCCTTCTGAGCTCAGTCCTTGTGACTCCCCGGCTCTCCTTCCTGCCCCCTCTACCACCAGGTGAGGGTTGAGAGAGTTCTTGGGGGGCTGGGGCTGTCTAAAGAAAAGGGGGCAATTTCCTAATTCTCACAGATGACCCACGTGGACGGGCTGCAGCCGGCACCAACCGGTTGATGTTCTTTGTAGGAGACTGTGCGGTGGGGGGCGGGGTCAGCAGTGGGTTTCAGCAGCCTCCACCGGGATCCCTGTGGGGAGGGTAGGCAACTAGGGGCCACGGAGTGTGGGAGGCAGAACTAAGGTACAGACTGATGTCCCTCGCCCATGCCAGGCCTCACACGGAGTCCCCAGGCCGGAGGTCCCACCGCCACAGCAGCGGCAGCTCCCACAGCCCCTCCCTCTCCTCCCAGTACAGCGATTCCAGATCACCCAGCAGGTAGGCCTGGGCGCTGGGAGGGCTTGGGGTGTGGTGCCCCGGGCTTTCTCTTGGGGGCGGGTTGCAGATTAAACACTCCCAAGGGCTGGGGAGTGGGCTGGTGACAGTTGGTGGGTAGAAGTTTACCAGGGGCGTGCTGGCGCCCACCTGGAGGAAGAGCTGCCCGAAGGCGCCCCAGGCCCGGAATTGGAAGTCGAGGCGGCGCGGAGCTGGCTCACTCAGGTCGAGTCTGTCCAAGCAGAAGAGGTTCCCGCCCGGCGAAATGGCGGGTGGCAGGCAGACCCTCCCGGTGCTGGGGAGCGGCCACTGGCAGAGGGGGCGTCCCACGCCGGCTCCCCCCATTCCCCCTCGCCCCCCACCGCAGGCTGAGCCCCAGGCACCGAGACGACGGGCGGAAGACAGGCAGCCAGCGGTCCAGCGGGAGCCAGTCGCCTTCCCGGTCGGATGGCAGCGGATGGGGGTCGCCCCAGCAGAACGGCGGCAGCAGGCAGCGGAGCGGAGCGCACGGGGGCCGCCCGGGCTCGGCGCACAGCCCGCTCGATGTACGTACGCTGCGTTTCGCTTAGGGTTCCCGCGCCGCGGGCTGCGCCGTGCGGGGTCGGAGGTCGCTGGAGGGTAGGGGGCGGTGAGTGCGTTCGGGGGGCGGGGCGGGGGCGCTGCACGCCTCCCTCGGGGTCGGCCGCTTCCTTCCTCCCCTGTGCCCGCTCCACATACCTCCGCGGGGGGCGTCATGGCACCGGAGCCGCCGGGGGCGCGCTCGGCTGTTGCACCCACCTGGCCCTAGAGTCAGGGTGAGGGGGACCTGCAGTCTTGGGCCACCCTTGAGCTTGGCAAACTGAAGGCCAGAGAAGGGTTGACCGCCCGGGGCCCTACAGAGCTGGGGAGGAACCAAGGTCGTATTCGGGTGGGAGGGGCATGGACATTGGTAGGAGTCCCCGTCAGGAACAAGATTCAAGGGACAGGAGCTCCCCTGGGCATCCCCTGGGCCCTCAGCCTCTCTCTCTCTCTACCAAGCCCTCGCCCCTTCTCTGAGTGCCCTCCCCTCCCTCAACCCCTCACAGTCCCTCCCCTACAGACCCCTCCCCCATCTGAGCCGTCTGCTGCTGCCAGGCGCTGCAGTTCTGCGGTCCCTGCTCCAAGGAGAATTTGCCCTTTGCCAGGCACTGCCCACACTTGGACAGGTGTTTCAAACCCGCGGGCTCCACTTCCCATGGCTGTCCCTTCAAGGCAATCCCAGAGTGCCCACTCCCATCTGAGTCCATTGCTCCCTTAAAGACCCCCCACCAACACCACCCCCAAAAGTGTCCCCACCCACCCTCCAGGACAGGCAGGTGTGTGTTGGGAGGGGGGTCCTGGCAGAGAAGTCAGGCCTCTCAGCCTTTCCCCAGGTGGACGGGCTGGACCAGGGTGGGGGGTTCTCCCAGACCCGGGGAAGGTCCACAGCCACCTTTGTGGATCTGAGAGCACAGAGTTGAGGCCCATCAGAGAGAAGAGGCTGCAGTGCTGGCAGGGGCACTGGGTGGGCACAGGGGACGTGGGGTGGGAGGCCTGCAGGTCCCTCCCCAGGCCCGCAGACTACCCCAGAAGCCTCAGCAGGGAGGGGGACAGCTGCCCTCCCCAGACCTCAGGTCTCAGCAGCAAACATGTACGTGTTGGTCAGTTTCATTTTGATTTTTGGCTGTTTCCTTTCACTCCCTTTCTTTTCTCAAACACTCTTACTCCCAGGGCCTCAGAGAGGAAAGTCAAGGGCAGCTGAAAAAAGGCTCTTGGTCTCAAGGTTAATCTTTATTTACAGACGTCACCTATCTCTAGACTGTCCCACCTGGACAGGGCACCAGGCTCCTGGGCTCCAGGGGGCATGGTTGGGCCATGCTGGGAAGGTCACACTGATGTCCCCGGATCTGTCTTGGGAGTGGGAGAGGACAGGCAGAGGTAGCTGAGGGTAGCCATGGCAGGGGCTGGAGAGGATAGGCAAACCCAGGTGAGAGGCACCTGCCACCCACCACCCACCCCCTAAGGGCACAGGGCCCCAAACACCTTCTCAAGAGTTTCACATCCTCCTGGGGCCTCCCCAGAGACACAGAGACACGGGTTCTCTCAAGCCAGGACTGAATGTAGGGGCCCTTCTTACTGCGGGTTCCCTCTCTGTCCCCACTGGCCTGAGCAATTGCCCTCCCCGCCCCCCAAAGGGCCCTGGGCATGAGCAGACAAAATGGCCACAGCAACTAGGTAGAGTACCCACGAGAGGACCTTTGGGGAAGGGGACCTAGCCTCCAGCCTTGGGGAGGGAGCCTCGGCAGCACCCCAATCTTGTCTCCCTCCCAAAGCCAGACTCTGTTTTGGCATGGCCCTGGGAGTTTTCTAGGAGACAGCACTCTCTCACTCCTTTCACCAGGCAGCCCCCCAAATCCTATCCCTTTGGGCCCTGGGAGATCTGGGGCTGCATTCGGAGCATCCCAGGCCTCTAACCCACACTCCGGTCCCCTCTTTGCCTGAAAGGACTTTCTGAGGAGTTAAATGGGGCTAGTTCTGGGTGGGGTGGGGTCACAGACTTTACCATGAAGAAAAACTGTCTCTGGGGAAAAGTACTGGGGGTGGTATTCTTGAATGCTACCTTTAAAAAAAGAGAGAGAGAAATGAAAAAAGAAAAGCTCAACATTTTTTAACCCCGTCTATGTTTTTGTTTGTTTTTTAGCCTCCCATTTGAAACGTGGTAATATTGTGATTCCATTTCTTGTTTAGCTGGCAAGGGAAGAGGGTGGGGAAGTTTTTGTAACTTTTTCTGTTATTTTGTTTTTGTTTGTATTTCCTTTTCCTTCTATTATCTTTTCCCTTTTGTAATGTACAGAAATGCAAACTATCTCTCTGGGTTTTTTCCTATCTTCTATGTTGTTCTTGAATTTTGCTTTTGTGTGTGTTACTGTTGGAACCTTTCCTCCTAATGCAGAGATGGTTTCTGAATTTCAAGTGAACATTAATCATATACATCTGTCTCTATACTTTTTTCCTTTATAATCTGAATTTAAAAGGGAAGATAACTCTAAAAAGAAATGACTCCCACGCCTCCAGCTCCTGACAAATCACCAGCACCAGCCAGCCCTCAACCCCGGGCAGGCGCTGGAACTGCCTTAGCTTTTAAATTAACAACAGTGGTGCAGACTGTGCTACTGTGGCCCCGTCTATAAAGAACCTTGGAGAGAGGCTGAGAGATCCAGGGAGGGGAAGACACTTGTCCTGGGTCACCCAGAGAACTTCCCAGAGCTGGCTGTGACTCCTTGGTTCAGTTTAGTATAACATGATTGGGCAAGGTAGGGACAGTGATGGGGACAGGCCACTCAGCACTGTCAGTGTCAGGCCTCAGATCTTCAGGAAACCTGGAGGAGGGGTCTGAAGGCACCCCTGAGAGAGTTTAGCTCAGGTAAATGCTTCAAAGCCAGACACTTCATCTTGGTCTTGAGACTGAGGCCAGGTGGGTGGTGGCTCCCAAGTAATCTCTTTATTGTCCCATCCCAGGCAATGATTGTTGAACGCCAAAAGGATTTCTGGGTTCTGCTGCTTACAGAAAGAGAAACTGCAGCTCAGAAAGGTCAATTGACCAACTCAAGGTCACACAGCTTTTTAGAGGTAGACCCCAGCCCCTGACTCTGACCTCAAGACCCCCAGCCAAGCTGCAGAGAGGGCGGGAAATGGAAGGCACACTCCAGGAGCCCTGAGTGGGAGGAGGAGGATTTGGGAGGTGGATGCTGACTGCCTTCCTCCTGCAGACCCCTCTAGGTATCTGCTTCCAGCTCTCTCCACTCCCTGGGCTGGGTCTGCCCACACTGAGAGACTGGGGTGCCTGTGGCCCCCACATTACAGAAGCCCATTCTATATGATTGCTGGACTTAGGGAACCCTAAGTCCTCACAGTTCACATACATATGGGGAAATAAATAATGATGCACAGAGAGGGCAGGGAGCCACTCAGAGTCACACAGCATGGGAGGAAAGAATAAGAGGCTGAGCAGGTGACCTCATGAGACAAGCCCTTCCATCCAGTCTCACCTGGTGCCTTCGCCAGCCTCCCACCAGCCCCCAAGAGCATAGGTTGGTGCTAGCCTTGCCCTCCCAGAAGCACAGCACAGCAGCCAGAAAGGTGTGCCAAGTTTTCAGTCTTAGAAGGGGGGCCACTTTCCTTGGCTCCGCCTGTCTGTAGCATTAGAGGTGTCAGGGGAACCCTGGAGGTGGCTCCTGCTGTTTGGCAAGGGTGGCAGAGAAGGCTCATGAGCATGGCCCTGAGCTCCCTCTGGTGTCTGCTCCTGGCCCCAATTTTATAATGTAATGGGTGACCCCAAGAAGTACTCTAGCCATGCACTCCCTGACCTGCCTCACCCAGGCTTCCCTTCTACTCACCCTCAGGGATGAGCGTGACCCCGGCTGCAGAGGGGGAGTCAGAAGAGGGGGGCAGCTTGGCATTTCTCCCAGGATGCTCTTCCTGTTTCCCAGGGCAAAGCCAGGGGGCGAGAGGGATGAGTTTTGCTAGAATGACACCAAAGCCAGGGGAAAAGGACTAGTGTTGATCCGTAGCAGGACTGGCAGGATCGCTCCCCCAAATTGGATCTGTGGTTGCCTTCCCTTTTAAATGCACACATCACCCCATCTGTCCGCCCTGATTGGCCTTGTTTAAACTGCTCCTCTCTCTTCTTTCTGTCTGGGTACACCTTTCTCTCCTTCTTCCTGCCTCTGTTTCCTTTGGTATTGTTTCTGTCTTTTCATTTCTCTTTCTCCCTTGCTCCCAGGTTCTGTCTCTGTCTGTGTGTCTGTCTGTCTTCTGTCGCCTTCTCTCTTCCTCTCCATCTCTCTCCCCTGACATGGGCCTCTCTCATGCTGCCAGCCCCTCCGTAGCCCACCATGTGGTTCTGCTCCCATCCGCTGCTTCCTGCATGCCCTCTGGAGGTTTTCTGTTGTTTAAAGAGTTAAGGAAAGCTTGGCTAGTAGAGCCTGTGGTTTTAAAAAAAAAGCAAACAGAAATGGCTGGGCAGAGCCTGGTCACATCCCTGGGACTAGATCGAAAGCCACACCGCACACTGGCTGCCCATCTGCTAGCTCAGAGGGGGAGCAGAGTTCAGGGTCACTGTCTTTCCCCATTCTGCATTCCCAATGCGGAGACCTTCTTTTCTTTTTTATTATTGCATTCCTGTCCCTGACCACTGAGAAGGTAGGTATCCCAGCTCAGCTGTGCGCTCGCCCCCTCCCATCTCCAGATAAGCCCCGCCACTCTGCTTGGTTTGAATGTGGTTTTCTTTCTCTCTCTCAATCTCGCTCTGGTTGGTTTTTTTCCTCCTCCCTTTTCTTTATTTATTTCAGTGACTACTCATTTGTAACTTGCACTTTCTTCAAATGAGCTGCGAAGCTGTGTTTCCTGGTTTGTCGTTTGGTTTTCTTGACTTTCCCCTGACAACTCTTCTGGATCATCTTCCCTCCTTCCCACCCTCCCTCCCCTCCCTCTCCCTCTCCACCCCCTACTCCCAGCCCCAACTCCTCCTTCACTCCCTCTCTCTCAT